CTCAGACATGGTAGAGCACAAAGCCCATCTCATCAATTTCCTCTTCCAACAGCTGAGAGAACAGATTGATTTTGGGGTTGAAATAGGAAGGCAAGACCCCTTTCTCTAGGTAGGCCACCAGCTCCTCAAGCACCTGCTGGAACCTGTCAGCAAGGCTTTCTTCTGCCCAGTCCAAATCAGTGTCACTGAGGTGCAGGATGACATGGGTCACTGGAGCACAAAGCCCATCTCATCAATTTCCTCTTCCAACAGCTGAGAGAACAGATTGATTTTGGGGTTGAAATAGGAAGGCAAGACCCCTTTCTCTAGGTAGGCCACCAGCTCCTCAAGCACCTGCTGGAACCTGTCAGCAAGGCTTTCTTCTGCCCAGTCCAAATCAGTGTCACTGAGGTGCAGGATGACATGGGTCACTGGGCTGCCACCCAGTTTGTGCAGGGTGGGATTGCTCTTGCACACACCATTCAGGATGCGCAGACAGTGCTGCCGAGCCCCAGAGTCACCATCATCCAGCTCCTTCACCTTCGAGACTTCTGCCCTGTAAAAGCTCTCCAGCCAGAGGTTTTCCACCAGTCCTTCAGGGGGAACAGCCAGAAGAACCTTGTCCTCCATTTCCACCACCGGGAAGAGGGTGATGCTCAGCTCAACCTGGTCGTGTTTGACTTCCAGCTTCAGCTCTCGGGAGGCCACAACGGGGTGGATGACACATCCCAGCAGGCTGCCTATGGCAGGCCAGTTGATGGAGGCCACCAGCATCTTGTGGAGGGTCTCATTGAGCACGTTGGAGGAGAGGTACCGACCCACGATGAACCTGTCCCAGGGGCTGCACCCACGAGGGAAATACCCCAGATCAACCCTCTTGATCATCCAGTACTGGGGGTTCCTCACCACGGTGTCCTCTCCAGAGATGAGGCTCCAGAGCCCGGCGTCAAGGACCACGGGCAGCATGAGGTGGATGTGGTCAGCTGCCAGGACCTCGAGGCCATCCAGCAGGGCTCCGCTGAGGAAGAGGCGGCCGAAGGGCAGCTCTGGGCACTTGCTCCGCAGGAAGTTCTGCAGTTGGGTGCAGATGCTCCTGGCCAGCTGTGGGACCAGGGACACTTGGATCTCAGGCACGGAGAGCTGGCTGCTGTAGTGTGAGAGGAGCTTCTCCTGCAGTGTGAGGCAGCACAGTGGGCTAGACTTGACCTGAGGAGCCTCCAAAGGGGCAGAGCAGGCCCTAGGACCTGTAAGAAAGGAAGGGAGAAGTCACAGCTCTGAGCAGATCATCTGCAGTCCACAGCAGCAGCTTTTGTCACCACTGAGGAGGAGGCACAAGCTCAGTGGCCAGCACTCAGCCCACCTCTCTGGATGTGACACTGACCTTGCTGAGGGTCCCCACAGAGTCCTCTGATGTTAATAGAACTGCTCAGCCATGCAGAGCCCAAACCAGCCTCAAAACCTAACTGTTCCCAGTCTCACTCCTCAGCTAGAGATGGGTGAACCAGGCAAGGGACTCGCTGCCAGGGTGGTCATGAGTCTCAACCCCACCTAGACTGCTCAGGCACATCCAGCCTGTCCCAATGCCTGCCTCATGTGAACTTAAGACAATCATGGAATATCCTCAGTTGGAAGGAACCCACAAGGATCATCCAGTCCAACTCCTGTCCCTGCACAGGATGCCTCAATAATCCCACCATGTGCTTTGTCCAAACACTCCTTGAGCTCTGTCAGGCTTGGTGCTGTGACCACTGCCCTGGGGAGCTGTTCCAGTGCCCAACCACCCTCTGGGGGAAAAACCTCTTCCTAGTATCCAACCCAAACCTCCCCTGATAGCTTCATGCAGTTCCCTTGGGTCCTGTCACTGGTCATCAGAGAGAAATCGGTGCCTGCCGATCCACTACCCCTTGTGAGCTTCCTGCACACGATCCTGCTCTAGGTCCAGTATCTCAGGACCTGCCCTGCACCAAGCCAGGCTGGTTTCCCACTTGGAAAAGCTCCATCTCCATAGTCAGCTGGACAAGGCAGCCTTTGTCTGCACCAGCTCCCAAGTGCACCTTCCTCTAGGCACAGCTGACCCAGAAACGAGTGCAGCCAATGCTGCTCCCGAGGAAACAAATCCCAACAGCCCATACCGTGGTGACTGGGACACCCAGGATGTTATCAGAGGTCCTGTTACCACAGGCATTGCCTAAAAAGGGGTTGTGGCTCGGGAGCCTCCCAGGAGGGCAGGCTCCAACGGGTCAGCTTCCCGGACACTGAGCTAAAAATAACCCAGAGCTCCCAGAGTGCCAGCAGCAGCAGCACAGCCAGCCTGAAGCACATCAAGGTGATTTTCCCAGCTGGACACCATGAGCCTCACCTGGCATCAGCGGCCGAGCTGGAGAGAGCAGAGGCTCACTGAGGTCTTCCCTTCTCTGCTTCTTGGAAGATTTTGTTGTCTTGATCAAGGCCAAGTCCTGCCAGCTCTCCTCCAGACTCTTCTGCTCAGCTTTGGGATCACCTTCATCCCGAGGGCTGGTGGCTCTGTCAATCAGCTGGAGGGAAGAAAAACTCACATGGACAAGTTACCTTTGTCCCGTTTCCCCTGAATTGTGGGCAACAACAGCCCCTCTGGTGCACACACAGGGACACAGCCCCAGGCAGGGCTTCTGCTGAGACAAACACAGCGTTTGGGGAGCCACAGAGGCACAAGTCTTCTTCCCATGGGTTTTAAATGGAAAACAGGTGCCCAAATACAACTTAAGCCCCAGGTGCCTTTCTGGATGGGATACTATATCCTGCATGCGTGCTATTCCAGGCAAATGGAATGGGGGCCCTATGTGGCCCCACAGGGTAGGAATGGGCAGCTCCATGCCCACAACATCAGTGGCAGCATCAGTGGCAGCAGTGCCAGATGCAAAGGACCAGCTCCACAGCTTGGGAGCAGCCAGTGAGGCCTGTGGCACATCATCCCCCACCTGGAGACCCAAGTAGCTCTCCACAATCTGACCACCCTCCCATGCTCCCCTCCCTGCCAGTAACCACCCCA